GTGATCGGTTTGGTCGTCTGCTGCCTTCTCCTTTTCTGGCGAAGAATGAGACTGCTGCTTTCCGGAGGGGTCCCTGGGTTGTTGTTGATTGGTTGGTTGGACCGGGGGTGCATTTTGTTTTTGTCCAGTTGCGGCTCTCCGCCGTTATTGGTACACCACGGCTTCTGGGTCCGTGGACACGCTTTGGGTTGCTCTGGTTCCCTTCTTCCCTGTTCCAGGGTGTGGGTCTCCCAGGTCGTCTGCGGAGTTCTTAAGGCTTGCCAGCCTGCGGTCTATCTCCATGCCCATGACGTCTGCAAGTTCGTGGCTCTTGCCGCTGTCTTTGGTATTGTGTCCTGGGAGGACACTCAATCATGGGAAATTTGGCGGTCGAGTAGGGTCCTTGGCTGCTCGTTACCTTGTACACGTTCCTGGGCCCAGTCAGGAATGTGTTGCTTTGGGTCGGCGGATGCGACCTGTTGTCTCGACTTCGGGTTGAGTAGTGTGCGGCGACCGCCTCCCGGGTCTATCCGTATTCTTTTCCTCTGTGGATAGTCAGCGGGGAGCCGTTGGGGCTCCCCCCAGAAAACCAGCATTAAATGTAATGAAACGCCATTTTCTGGGTGAGTCCCGGAGGCTCCCCGGATTCCCTCCCTCCCTCCAGTCAGTGGTTTTTCGCGTGTTTTGACATCCAGCCTCAGAACTGGGGTGTGGATCGCTGGCGTGGTAGGTCTGGGGCTACCCCTTCCCCCTCCCGGGGAGGGGGGAGCTGCGCAGACAGCGGTGTGATGACGGGAGACGTCATACTACAGACCAATGACCTTCACAACCCAGGCCAACATGGATTTTGAGCAGGAAGATCGTGCCTCTCACAGCTACTTGAGCACTACGACAAAGTCACTGAGGCATTAGAAGAAAAACAGAATGCTGATGTGATATACACAGACTTCGCAAAGGCTTTCGATAAATGTGACCATGGCGTGATAGCACACAAAATGAAGTCAATGGGAATAACCGGTAAAGTAGGACGCTGGATACTCAGTTTTCTGTCAAACAGGACTCGGCGAGTAACGGTCAACCATATAAAATCTAGTCCAAGTGCAGTTAAAAGCTCTGTACCTCAGGGTACAGTCCTTGCACTGCTGCTTTTCCTTATTCTCATATCAGATATAGACAAAAATACAAGTCACAGCTTCGTATCATCCTTTGCAAATGACACAAACCTATATATTATGTGAGAAATCTTTAAAGAATTCTGATAAAGAAAGAGATCTAGGGGTGGTTCTAGATAGAAAACTATCACCTGAGGACCACATAAAGAATATTGTGCGAGGAGCCTATGCCACGCTTCCTAACTTCAAAATTGCTTTTAAATACATGGATGGCGATATACTAAAGAAATTGTTCACGACTTTTATTAGGCCAAAGCTAGAATATGCAGCAGTTGTGTGGTGCCCATATCTTAAGAAGCACATCAACAAACTGGAAAAGGTGCAAAGACATGCTACTAAGTGGCTCCCAGAACTGAAGGGCAAGAGCTACGAGGAGAGGTTAGAGGCATTAAATATGCCAAAACTAGAAGACAGAAGAAAAAGAGGTGATATGATCACTACATACAAAATAGTAACAGGAATTGATAAAATCGATAGGGAAGATTTCTTGAGACCTGGAACGTTAAGAACAAGAGGTCATAGATATAAACTAGCTAAACCTAGATGCCGAAGAAATATAAGAAAATTCACTTTCGCAAACAGAGTGGTAGACGGTTGGAACAAGTTAGGGGAGAAGGTGGTGGAGGCCAAGACCGTCAGTAGTTTCAAAGCGTTATATGACAAAGAGTGCTGGGAAGACGGGACACCACGAGCGTAGCTCTCATCCTGTAACTACACTTAGGTAATTACACAAAAATCAGTATGAAAATTATCTCGGCTGAAGACATTGAAAAACTTCAAGCGGATATTAATAAAGTTTTCGACTAGGCATCAGAAAATAACATGATGTTTAACAGTGATAAATTCCAGGTACTCAGGTACGGTAAAAATGAGGACCTTAAACATAATACAGAGTACAAAACACAATCAAATGTACCCATAGTAGGAAAACAGCATGTAAAGGATTTGGGAATAATGATGTCTGACGACCTAACGTTTAGGGAGCATAACCAAGCAAATATTGCGACAGCCAGAAAAATGATAGGATGGATTACGAGAACTTTCAGATCCAGGGATCCCATCACAATGGTTGTACTCTTCAAGTCACTTGTGTTGTCCTATCTTGAGTACTGCTCAGTACTCACTTCCCCCTTCAGAGCAGGAGAGATTGCTGAAATAGAGGGAATACAGAGAACATATACGGCATGCATAGACGCAACAAAGCACCTAAATTATTGGGATCGTCTCAAAGCCCTCCAAATGTACTCACTAGAAAGAAGACGAGAGAGATATCAAATAATATACACCTGGAAAATACTGGAGTGAACGGTATGGAAGAAAATGCAGAATAGAACCAGTGAAGAGCAGAGGTGCCATAGGCACAATCAGAGAACACTGTATAAACATCAGAGGTCCGAGGTTGTTCAACGTCCTCCCAGCAAGCATAAGAAATATTGCCGGAACAACCGTGGACATCTTCAAGAGGAAACTAGATTTATTCCTCCAAGGAGTGCCGGACCAATCGGGCTGTGGTGGGTATGTGGGCCTGCGGGCTGCTCCAAGCAACAGCTTAGTGAACCAAACTCTCACAAGTCAAGCCTGGCCTCAGGCCGGGCTTGGGGAGTAGAACTACTCCCAGAACCCCATCAACCAGGTATCAACCAGGTAACTAGTTTGCTCGTTTTTGGTTGGGGAATTCTATTCACTCATTCGGTTTTTGGTTGCAATTTTCACCAGAAAAGGGGTTTATTTTGGGACGCCTACCTTTCTGGGTGCCTAACCCGGTCGATGGCAAACATAGAATGCTTCCAACTACACGGGGGTATCTATAGGCCATTGCTCCTCTTGCCTCTCTAGAGGGGGCCAGGTTCTGGCTCGTGGTCCCTGGTAGGCCCACAAGAACTCTGTACACATGACTGATGCCAAAGTCTGACATTAGCATATCAGCCTGGTAAGCTCCGTGGAGCTTCCGGGACTCGCCCAGAAAATGGCCTTTCATTACATTCAACGCTGGGTTTTTTGTCTCCTGTTTCTTGGTTGATGTCTTTTGTCGAATGATGTTGCCACTTCTTGTCCGGCTTTGGCGGATCTACTCCGGCTTGCGTTCAGGGTTACCATTTCCTTGGCCCCATTATGCAATCTACTCACACTGTTTCACCTCTGGCCTGCTCATGCACCACCTGAGCTTCCCTGGTCTCTGGTTAGGTTAATTTTTTTATCACTTCTGCTTGTTTTCAGGGGGCCCCTTCGGCCTGGGTTTAATTTGGTGGTTTTGCATTTTGGCCCTGGCTGGGCATTTGTTCGGTGGTGGCTGGCTCCTTCATTTCTGGCAAAGAATATGGCGAGGCCGTTTCCTGAGGGGTTCTTTGGTTGTGGATGCTGGCTTGGTTTGGCCCTGTGTTCCTAGCGTATTTTATCCAGTGGAAGTTTTCCTCCGCTGCCTTTGTGCTGCCGGTTCTGCTTCGGTGGGCACTGTGCTGGTTGTTCCAGTTTCCCTAGGTCCCTGTTCCCTAGGCCTTGTGTGTGTCTGGTCCCCAGTTTTGTCCGGTTTGGCCAACCTGCAGTTTTTACCTCATGCTCATGTGTCCATGTGTTTGCCACTATGTCGGCTGTTTTCAATCATGTCTTGAGGAGATATTTGAGTGAGAATTTTTGTTGGGTGGTTATCTTATCTTGGGATGATTTTGGGGGTGAATGTTCCCATGGCTAGTCTTTAACCAGGCCTCTTCCAGGATGGTTCAGGGTTTTGGCGGCTTGTTGCCGCCCCTGGTTTCTCAGTGGCCTTGTGTTACCCTGGGGTGTGTCTCACACCTATCAGTTTTTTCTTTGGGTTGATACCTGCAGTGCTGCCTCCTCCCTGGTGTGTACACTTTTTCTTTTCTCTGTGGATAGTTAGCTTCAGGGAGCCATCAAAGCTCCCTTCCCCCCCCCCCACCCCCAGAAAACCAGCACTGAATGTAATGAAATGCCAATTTTTGGGTGACCAATGAAAGCTCCCCGACACCCCTCCTTACGGTTGGTGGATTTTCATTATTCCAGAAATGACAAGTGGTGGCTCCGCTTAACCATGACCCGGGCTGGCGTCTTCCCCCCCCCCCCACTTTAGTTTTTTTTTTTGTGGGGTGGGGGGAGTTCTTTTGAAATTGTAGTTTTGTGTCTTGTATTAAACTGTCCAGTTTTGTTTTGAGATGCATAATTTTCTGGGTGCTTCCCTGGTCGATGGTAAGATGATTGTTAAGTTTAAGGCAGAAGAGAAACAATCTTCGTTCACATGGTTTATTGTCAACAACCAATAACAACCAATATACGGTACATAACATACTATTTACAAGATTATTAACAAAAGAGCATCTGTTCAAAACATGCTACACTTAATATCTTTAGTACTTAATCCTAACAATGATAAACTTTAATGTAAAATGTTCGTGTGCCATTGCTCTGTGTGCCTCTGTGAGGGGGCCAGGTTCTGGCTCATGGTCCTCGGTAGGCAAACAAAAACTCTGACTTATGACAATCAAATAGTATGGCACTTAATAAGTAAGCTAGCTTCAGGGAGCCTTCGGGGCTCACCCAGAACATTTCATTACACACGGGGCTCACATTTCATTACATTCTATACTGGTTTTATAAAACTTTGTAAATTAGGAATAGCTGAACAGTACATAGTTTAAGAATGTATAACTAGGTGGCATCTGGCAACTATCGGTCGTGGCTGTACTATAGCTGCCCCTATCCCAGGCGGGGAGTTTAAATTATAGCGCTAGACACGAAATCATACATAAATGATGTGCGCGGTTTCGGTTTTGTCACTGATATCATTTATATATGATATGAGCGGTTTGAGGGTTAAGAATGTATATTCTATTCCAGAATGAAAGAAGCAGAAGAGAAAGTGCGGAAGATGACAGAAGAGAAGAAGGATGTTGCAAAGAAAACCAAAGAAGCTGGAGGACTGAAGAGCAAGCTGAAGGATAAGCTGAAAAAGAAACTGGAGGACTGAAGACAAAATGGCAAATCTTATCACTTTGGTAATTGGTAGAAGAAGAATATTCTTCCGAGCAAATGATACAGCATTTGTGCACAAGTCGTGACCTCATGGACTATAAAGACAGGTATCAGACTCGTGGTCATTAAACTGTGATTAAAATAGATGTTGTGATACTTGTTTTTATCATGAAGGATATGAGTATACTGTACAGTACTATGATGTTAGTTTATTTATTTGTTTTGTATGAAAACATTAATAATGGACCAAAATGACTTTGTAAATTGCACTTATGAATGTTTATGAAGAATAATCATGCATAATACATACGTTTGGATATTTTTTGAGTGATCAATATGGTATACTGTACAGTAATTGACAAGATTTATATTCCTTTTATACAATGTATTAAGTTATTTTTCAATGTTTAAAGTTTCATTCTATCATTGTAAATGGAGCAGATTATATTTTCAAGCTGGCTAAAACTTTTTTAATACATATGTAATTAAAGCAATGAGCTAAACCAGAATATGTAAACTATATACTTTAACTCACAATCCATACCATTAGTCTTTCCATGAGCACATATTCTGATAAACGGCAGTGACTTTGAGAGTTGAGTGAAGGTGTATTTGTCTTGAGTGGAAAAATGTAATAAATTCCAAATTGAGGATATTATTTTGTCCTTTTGGACAATTCAAGCATGTAAAAATCTTTAAATTTGTCTAATGTCTATTCAGTGTAAATCTGTTGTTAAAGATTTCATAAATGTAACGTTATGAAATAATGTTCTAATCTCCAGATGAGATTTTAAATTATGGTTAATGCACAATACTTACAGATTTGGGAAATGTTAAATTTCGAGCCTGGCCTCGGGCCGGGCTTGGGGAGTAGAAGAACTCCCAGAACCCCATCAACCAGGTATCAACCAGGTATCAACCAGAGCAGATTCTTGAGTCACAGCTTGTATATTCACACACATTTCACTTTCATTGTCATTATCATCCCATTATATTCACTTAGAATTAAGCACTATTGTTCATTTACAGATTGTCAAAAGTATGAAGTACATAATGGTTCACAGCTGCATGAAATCAAGTTTTTGTTTTGTTTGTTTTGTTCTCCCTTAAATATTATTTAGATTTAGTGGCTTACATTTAAAGGCAAATTGAATGATATAATGGCTTTGCTTTGAAGGCAATTGCTGGTTAACCAGACCACACACTAGAAGTTGAAGGGACGACGACGTTTCGGTCCGTCCTGGACCATTCTCAAGTCGATTGTGAACTTCACAATCGACTTGAGAATGGTCCAGAACTTCACAATCGACTTGAGAATGGTCCAGGACGGACCGAAACGTCGTCGTCCCTTCAACTTCTAGTGTGTGGTCTGGTCAACATACTTGAGCCACGTTATTGTGACCCATCGCTTGCAATTGCTGGTTAATTTTTTTTTTACACTTTCCAGTAATTTTTTTCTGAAAGATTTGAACAACAACATTTCCAAAGATAATATAATATGGGTTTAGGAAGAAGTAATACAGCTGCACAAGTTACTTACAATAAAGTTCTCCACTGATCAAAATGCTTCGGCCTCACACGCTGAACACGTCCACGGTTTGAGTCCCCTAGAGCCCAGGTGAATGGAATTCTCCACTGATGTTTTCAGAATTAAGCATATTACTATAAATCTTTCTAAAATAACAGTAAAAAGTTTTATTTTCATGACAATTATATCCAACTTCAATATTATTTTATTTTTTTATTTTTGTAATAATGTATATTCATGCACCACATCTCTTCATAGTGACTCAAGACTTTTGCCAAAATGAACTTCCTAAATTGTCAAACATTATAATTTGGACAATGGCTCACTTAGCTCTTCATATCACTCGGGTGTTGTGGATCTTGGTGTGTGGTAGTGATGGTGCTTCCAAAAATAAGTCCTGCATGGTATCTGGTAGTTGAAGCCAGCTGTGCTTTTCATAGTGTCTTTATAATGATGCTTGTTAATAAATCAATTGTTATAAATGTTTGGTTTTATTACCCCAAGGTGTTTCAAAACTATCCTTTTTCCTCATTGTATATCTAACTTTATTTTACTCTGACGTTTCTCTACCCACGGATACTGCTTTGTTGTGGTTGTTGGGGGTGGACAAGGTTACTTTCTTCCTATCCTCAGGGTTTCGGGAAATACCCGCTCCTGTTGTTTTTTAACTGCCCCGGATACTGTTGGACGTATGTTTCTATTCTCGCCCGTTCATTTCTGGGTACTGACCGGAGGTTAAGTTGTTTTTGATTGCTCTGGATCCATTAGTTCGTGTAGCCTCTTTAACGCAAGACTGCAGATACTAGTTTGTCTCTGAGGGATTTATGACGCTTCCAAGCCAGCATTGGAGGGCGTTTGGCAAACTGTGGCCAGGATGGGTGATCCCCAAACCTTTGTTCCAGCCAGTACCACAGTTTGTCCATGGCTGTCTTCAGGGGGCTTTCAAAGCCGTCAAAAAAAAGTGGCTACCAAGATATCCCTATCCTTTGGGGCCCGGGGTACTGGTTTCAGGAGTTCGTCTCTCGTCTTGGGTCGTAACTTCTGTTCCACTTTCTGGAGCACTTCCTCCAGGTAGCCCCAGGTCCGGAAACGGTCCCAAAGGTCCTCGAGTTGGGACATCAGGGTCTGGTCGTCACTGTTAATTCTTTTTAACCTGAGGCCCAAGGAGTATGGGAGTGAGTTCTTGAGAGGCCTGGGGTGGCTGGATTCATACTGTAGATAAGTATGTAAGTTTGTCGGCTTGTAGTAGGCCTTTGTTTCTAGACGCCTGTTCCTAGGGTTGATTGAGACCGTCGTGTCCAGGAAACTCGGTTCCCGGTCATTCTAGTCTATAGTGAATCATAGGTTCGGGTGTACCCCATTTGCCCAGGTGTAGAAAGAGTCCAGGTTTCCTGGGGGACCTGTCATGATCCCGAAGATATCGTCAATATATCTGTAGTATATTCTCGGACCCCCCAGGAAAGTCGGCCCTCCGGGATTCGAAGACCTCGTGGACAAAGATTTCTGCGATGGCCACGCTGCTGGATGCTCCTATGGCCGTTCCCTTTGTCTATCTGTAGGTCTTTCCATCGAATGCAAGGATTGTGTCCCGCATCATGTGCCGGATTGCTTCTATCAGGAGGTTCTTAGATGGTGGGACGTGGACTCCCACTTCCTTGAGGACTCTGTGTATCTTGTGGACATTGTTTTAGAAGAAATTTGCCACTACAGTTGCTGCTTCACGTTGGGGGATGCTTGGGTGTAGGGACACAATGTCTGAAGAGAACAATATTGCGTCTGGGGGCACCTGTCCCCACCTCTCATTCATGTCCCTCAGTTTGACTAGGAAGTCTGTCGTATCTACCAGCCTCTCTTCCAGGAGGCGGAGGATGGGATTCAGCAGAGCCGTACAAATCCTGTCTATGGGCCTTGTAGGGGCTCTGCATCCGCTCAAAACTGGGTGGCCCAGCCAGGTACCTGTGATGGGGTTATCTTGAGGTTATCTTGAGATGATTTCGGGGCTTTTTAGTGTCCCCGCGGCCCGGTCCTCGACCAGGCCTCCACCCCCAGGAAGCAGCTCGTAACAGCTGACTAACACCCAGGTACCTATTTTACTGCTAGGTAACAAGGGCATAGAGTGAAAGAAACTCTGCCCATTGTTTCTCGCCGGCGCCCCGGAATCGAACCCTGGACCACAGGATCACAAGTCCAGCATGCTGTCCGCTCGGCCGACCGACTCCCACGCCTTTGTGGATCTTTGGCAGGATAACTCTTTTGCTTGGGAGTTCTGACCTGAAAGCAATGAAAAATTCCTTGCTGATGGCCACAGGATGCCTCTGCCCTCATTCCTGAAGAAATCTAGTACCAGGGACTTACTCCTTGTTTGGGCGTTCCTCAAGGCTACTTGGCCATTTTCCACCGGTTTGTAGGTTGTTTTGTCTGTCAGGTGTCTATTCATTTCTCGGCAGTAGTTCGTCGTCTTCCAGAGCACAACCGACCTGACCCGCCCTTATCTGCTTGTTTAATGACGATGTCTTGTCTCACTTCCAGTTGACGTAGGGCCGGTCTGAGCTCCGGCTGGAGATTGTACTTACGGCGTTCTGTTACCTGTGTTAATAGGGAGAAAGCCAAGAGGTTCATCTGGTCACTTAAACCGTTAAGTTGAAAAGGGGCAACAGGTCTAGGTTGGGGGAAGGGGTTAGGTACCATGAGGAGAGGGAGGGTACCGATTCGTAACGTCTCGGGTTGCTCAGCTCTGAGGATTCTGTTGTACGTAACCTGCCCCATGCCTGGTTATCTGTGTTTCTAGGGTATCCAGAGCTTGTTGGACTAACCCCCTCCCTGTTCAGTTCGTTGTTGCCGTGAGGGGGCTTGGTGGGCGGCTGCTGAAATGTGATGCTCCTTGGGACAGTCCTCTGTCCTTTTGTAGCCTTGTGCTCCTGCTGCTGTCCTCTCTAATTGTGCTGGACGACTTTTCCTTTTCCATCTGTTTCGTTTTTCTCCTCCCTCTTCTCCAATCTGCTTGTCGTTTCCTGCCGACCTTTTGCTTGTTTTGGTTATTCTTTTGAACTACTACTATTTTAACGCCCGGGTGCTTGAGGAGGCATATTCTTGCACCCGTAGAACTGTAGTACCCAACGTCTCGAGCGAGGGGAACCTTTGCAGGCGATGAGTCACAATAACGTGGCTAAAGTATAATGACCAGACCACCTTGAGGTTACCTTGAGGTTACCTTGAGGTGCTTCCGGGGCTTAGCGTCCCCGCGGCCCGGTCGTCGACCAGGCCTCCTGATTGCCGGACTGATCAACCAGGCTGTTGGACGCGGCTGCTCGCAGCCTGACGTATGAGTCACAGCCTGGTTGATCAGGTATCCTTTGGAGGCTTTGGAGGAAACCACACACTAGAATGTGAAGGAACGACGACATTTCGGTCCGTCCTGGACCATTCTCAAGTCGATTGTGATGAAGTACAGACAGGCAATAAATAGGCACAAGAGATGAGGATCAAAGTAAGGTGTAGTAGAGGGGCTAGTAGTAGGAACTGCAGAGGGCCTATTGGCCCATACGAGGCAGTTCCTATTATAACCACCGAAAGAGAAGGAGAAAATAATGAGAAGAGGAAAGCGAAGGAACGTAGAAGACAATGAACAGAAAAAAAGAGAGAAAAGAGAAAGAAAGGTAAATGGAAAGGGTAAGCTTATGTAAGGTCACGTTTGTTAGAAAGAGTAGAGCATTTGAGTATATACGGTGAAGAGTCCACAGCAACAAAGCCAGGGCTCAAGTTCATGTTGGGTACATTGTGTATTAGAGCCGATTCAACAAGACGGCGTCTGTGTAGAGTAGAGGCAGGAAAGATTATTTTGGAGGAAGACCAATCAATGGGATGATTAGAATCCCTCACATGGCAGAAGAGAGCATTGTTAGTGTCTGCAGACTTAACACTTCTCTTGTGCTCTTTAAGTCTGTCATTCAATGTACGGCCAGTTTCGCCAAAGTATTGGAGAGGACAAGACGAACAGGAAATAGAGTAGACACCAGCAGCATTAGAAGCAGGAGGAGCAGTGTGAACTAGATTACTACGAAGTGTGTTAGTTTCTCGAAAGGCGAGCTGAATGTCAAGAGGACGAAAGGTATTGGTAAAAGTTTTGAGTTCAGATATGAAGGGAAGGCATAGTACAGTGCTACTAGTGTTGGAAGCAGGTTTAGGATGAAAGAAATTTCGTTTAGGTTGAGAGTAGGCCCAGTTGATGAAATGCAAAGGGTAACCAAGGCGAGAGAATGAATTGTAGATAAAGGCAATTTCAGAATCAAGAAACTGAGGGTCGCTGATGCGTATAGCGCGGAGGAAGAGAGAGACGAGGACACTTTTCTTAACAGAAGGAGGATGGTAGGAAAAAAAGTGAATGTACATGCCACTGTGCATGGGTTTACGGTAGACAGAGAAAAAGAACCCGGACACAGAGCTGTGAACATGAACGTCAAGAAAAGGAAGAAGAGAATTAGATTCCCACTCAACTTTGAAATGGATAGAAGGAGCCAGATTGTTAAGACAGGAGAGGAAAGGCTGAAAAAGACTAAGGT